TGGTCAAAAATATACTTTTACCTTGACATCCTTCCAGATAGCATCGACAATATCATCAGGCACACTGTTCCAGTCAACAAAAGTAAGAGGAACAATGTTACCATTCCGGACAATAATGCCAAGTTGAGTAGTTAACTTGGCCACGTTATCTCCTATTGGGCAGTAATTTCCATCAAATTGTATGTGCAGCTTTTTACCAGTACCCCACTCTTTAATGCCCTTGGCACATCCTCTACCACGCCTAGTCGAGGTCGATGAAGAACTAACATGACCTGCGATATACAATAATAATAAACAATATGCAATGGTAACAATCCGGCTCTAACTCCCAAACCGGGAACCCGATTCGAGCCCCGTTTTCTCCCACAAGTCTCTCGTGCCTAGGCGGTCGTGTGTGCCAAGTTTCGTGCTAAACCGGCGCCGTTTGGTGATTTTGGGGCGTTAACTCCTCGAATTCAAGTTTCTGAAGGAAGTAATTTGCCTAAAGTGAAATCCGGCTCTAACTCGCAAACCGGGAACCCGATTCGAGCCCCATCTTCTCCCACAAGTCTCTCGTGCCTAGGCGGTCGTGTGTGCCAAGTTTCGTGCTAAACCGACGCCGTTTGGTGATTTTGGGGCGTTAACGCCTTGAATTCAAGTTTCTTAAAGAAGTAGTTTGCCTAAAGTGAATTCCGACTCTAACTCCCAAACCGGGAACCCGATTCGAGCCCCGTGTTCTCCCACAAGTCTCTCGTGCCTAGGCGGTCGTGTGTGCCAAGTTTTGTCCTAAACCGACGCCGTTTGCTGATTTTGGGGCGTTAACGCCTCGAATTCAAGTAAAGAACGCAAAGATGCATTTTAGCTTAGAATGCAAAGATAAATTTTATACCTGATCTTCTGGTGGTGGTGTATATGGATTCTCGTCTTCTGCAGATTCCCTAAATGCCCGGTGGCCACTCGATGCATCAGGAACCTATGTTAGTCAGTGCATAATGTGTTAATCATATTCGAATTTCATACATAATCTTGAGTGCAAATTGAACTATTAAACAATTGTGATGTTTATATGGAACCTGTCTGTTGGGATCCACACTGGCCCCCTGTGACACAAGGGCCATCATCTCAGCTCTCATCTGCTGCAAATGTGTAGAGAACTCTGCTCGCAGCTCCTCCCTCAACTCATCCCTTAGCTCAGCACGAACCTGCTGCGTGATCTGATCAATAGTCGATAGCTGGGGTGTTGACTGTGATGGCCCAGCACCATCTTTATACACCACTCTCCGAGGCACGATTCTCCCGAATGTGCGACAATATCCATGTCTGTCATGACCTATCAACTCATGGAAAATGGCATTCCTAGCCTCCAAAGTCCGACCATCCTCAGGTAGCATAGAGAGTTGACGATTAAACTCATCCTGTATTGAATAAGACACACAAGTATACGCCAAATTAAGATAGTTGACACACAAAAAATAAACTTTAAATACAATCAAAGGTGTTTGGAAACTACCAAGGTCTGGATAACCTCTGGGTCATCTACTCTACGTGTCATAAGCCAAACATTCATCTTATCAGTAGACTCCCCCTTACTGGTCATCTAAATTTTTTTTAGAAATATGAAAATTAGAATCCAAATAATTTGCAAATATACAATGTTTATTTATATAGAAAAATAAAACAATAAAATGTAAACCTCATGCCGTATCTGAGAGAAAGTAGTACGCCCTGTGGTATGAGCTATGCCGTGAGCTCGCCGATTTTTAGCGTTCCTACTTGCAATTTTCTATAACAAGTTCAACAAATGTAAGTATGTAAATATGATTTGTATGTTTACATATCATAAATATAACGTAATTGTATACCTCAGCATCGGAAGTACGCCAATACTCTACAAGTTGTTCCCACTGGCTTGGCACAACGTTCATAGGAACATCATCCTTCAGATTAGGATCAGAGCTTCTAGGCTTGAAATACTTAGCCTTAAGCTTGTTCTTGTGATCCTTCCATATGCTGTTGCAGTTTTTCATGCAGATTGGCTTGTACTCCTCTGGACATATATTCAAATTGTCCTATAAAACACAAAGTTTAAGGCTAAGTATAACACAAATTTGGAATTCGAATTTGTGGACAAAAATATACTTTTACCTTCACATCCTTCCAGATAACATCAACAATATCATCAGGCACATTGTTCCAGTCAAGAAAAGTAAGAGGAACAATGTTATTTGGTGATTTTGGGGCGTTAACGCCTCGAATTCAAGTAAAGAACACAAAGATGCCTTTTAGCTTAGAATGCAAAGATACATTTTATACCTGATCTTCTGGTGGTGGTGTATATGGATTCTCGTCTTCTGCAGATTCCCTAAATGCCCGGTGGCCACTCGATGCATCAGGAACCTATGTTAGTCAGTGCATAATGTGTTAATCATATTCGAATTTCATACATAATCTTGAGTGAAAATTGAACTATCAAACAATTGTGATGTTTATATGGAACCTGTCTGTTGGGATCCACACTCGCCCCCTGTGACACAAGGGCCATCATCTCTGCCCTCATCTGCTGCAAATGTGTAGAGAACTCTGCTCGCAGCTCCTCCCTCAACTCATCCCTTAGCTCAGCACGAACCTGCTGCGTGATCTGATCAATAGTCGATGGCTGGGGTGTTGACTGTGATGGCCCAGCACCATCTTTATACACCACCCTCCGAGGCATGATTCTCCCGTATGTGCGACAATATCCATGTCTGTCATGACCTATCAACTCATGGAAAATGGCATTCCTAGCCTCCAAAGTCCGACCATCCTCAGGTAGCATAGAGAGTTAACGATTAAACTCATCCTGTATTGAATAAGACACACAAGTATACGCCAAATTAAGATGGTTGACACACAAAGGTGTTTGGAAACTACCAAGGTCTGGACAACCTCTGGGTCATCTACTCTACGTGTCATAAGTCAAACATTTATCTTATCAGTAGACTCCCCCTTACTGGTCATCTAAATTTTTTTTAGAAATATGAAAATTAGAATCCAAATAATTTGCAAATATACAATGTTTATTTATACACAAAAATAAAACAATAAAATGTAAACCTCATGCCGTATCTGAGAGAAAGTAGTACGCCCTGTGGTCTGAGCTATGCCGTGAGCTCGCCGATTTTTAGCGTTCCTACTTGCAATTTTCTATAACAAGTTCAACAAATGTAAGTATGTAAATATGATTTTGTATCTGAGAGAAAGTAGTACGCACTGTGATATGAGCTATGCCGTGAGCTCGCCGATTTTTAGCGTTCCTACTTGCAATTTTCTATAACAAGTTCAACAAATGTAAGTATGTAAATATGATTTGTATGTTTACATATCATAAATATAACGTAATTGCATACCTCAGCATCGGAAGTACGCCAATACTCCACAAGTTGTTCCCACTGGCTTGGCACAACGTTCATAGGAACATCATCTGTCAATTGTCCATAATAGTACACAGACCCCAGACGAGGATAATCTCTTCAGAAAGTATGACATCAGTAGTCCTTCACAAAGTTTGGACCTATTTAACACGAAAATGTAAAATTTAAAATGCAGATCGACTTAAGTAACTAGAATCTATAGAGTTAAATACATACATGTTCCTTGAACCAAATGTGAAAAGTTTCAAAATGTTCACGCCGAAGTTGATGATCGTCGACACGAGGCATTTTGAGCTTAAGTACTTCAAGGTGTTTGCTTTAGCGACGTTATCCCCTATTGGACAGTAATTTTCATCAAATTGTATGTCCATCTTTTTACCAGTACCCCACTCTTTAATGCCCTTGGCACATCCTCTACCACGCCTAGTCGAGGTTGATGAAGAACTAACATGACCTGCGATATACAATAATAATAAATAATATGCAATGGTAACAACCAAATGCAAATTTAAATAATGTGAATACAAATCATATCAAATAAACCTAATGTGGGCTGTGAAGAAGTCGAAGGGTCTGCAAAATACAATGAGAATAAACAAGTTATATATAATGAGCATAAATAAATGTATGTGTAAATAATTTTCATGCAAATCAAAGCAAATTTAAATACCTGCGGATGGCTCATAAGCTGATGATGATAGCTGCTGTGGTGCCATTGATGGTGGACGCACCGATGGTAGGCGTGGAGGCTGAGTACATGGTAGCTGCTGTGGTGCCACTGATGGTGGTCGATACGGTGGTAATGGCCCCTCCGATGCTGGCCGATGTGATGCCTCCTCTAATGGTGACGCTACTGATGTCCTGTTATGTAGCACATCAGACATCATACGCCGGGGATGATCAGGCTTTCTCTTCCTTCCCATAATAATCTGCAAGCAATATAACATTAATTGACATTAGAAACATAGACAATGGTTTGTCATCAACTATAATATGACATGAATTGAACTAATACAATTACAAAGACAAAGTAAATTAAGAAATTGATGATTAACTACAACCTTGGCCTTAATTGAATTACTAATGTTGATTACATATTAGCCTATTTGAACATCAACTGTTTCCCCTTCTGCGGCTTCCCTCACCCAACCAACTTCTTCATCACGAAGCATTATATTTTCTTCCAATTGTTGGCTCATGTATGGCTCGATTTGTGGATCAGTTGAACTCATATCAAATAAACCTCTTTGAGACATCTTCACCACGACTTGCCAGTCTGGTTGTAACGGGTCTGCCACATACCAAACTCGCTCTGCTTGGGACGCCAAGATGAAAGGTTCATTGGTAATTCGATCATCTCGGTACAACAAATGATTGAAGTTCACCCACATGAAATTGAAGACATCTTCTTTCTTTCCGTGAATGTTGTCAATCCAATCACACTTAAACAACACATGTTTCTTCTCATTGGAATATCGAATCTCAACAATATCTGTCAATTGTCCATAATAGTACACAGACCCCACACGAGGATTCTTGTCTTTTCGACTAGCATAACTTATGGTATCTGCCTTCAAAGCTACACCACAATTTTGTGTGGCTCGACGATCATCCATGGCCTTTACTCGATACCGAAACCCATTCAGTATATACCCGTTGAACCTCCTTGCCAAGTTATGAGGACCATTTGCCAATAGAATAAGCTCTTCAGAAAGTATGACATCAGTAGTCCTTCGCAAAGTTTGGACCTATTTAAAACGAAAATGTAAAATTTAAAATGTAGTTAGACTTAAGTAACTTGAAGCTATAGAGTTAAATACATACATGTTCCTTAAAGTTAATATACTAATTGATACATATAGCATTATTCTTAATATAATTATGAAGTGAAGCAGAGAGTTGTTGATGGAGATGAGCGTGTGTGATGATGGACAATGAGAGAGAGTTCTTGAGAAATGATTTCTTTTCCTTCTTCAACTCCCAACTCAACCAAACATAGTTGAGACTTGGAATCTTATTAATTCTTCCTCATTTCCATTTCCATTTCCATTTCCATTTCCATTTTCCTCCCTAAATCCTCTAACCAAACACAGCATTAATCCTTCTTGATGCCAATTAATTTTAGGAGAAGATGAAAATAGAAAGAATAAGAATCTTAAAAAGTGGAATCAGAGCACAAGTGGATTTGAGCCCCCAAAGGTATTTTTTGGGAAAAGATTAATCAAGCAATTCAACCTGTGTGGCGGGACCTACAGAAGGACTTCAAGTGCTCAAGAGACTAATCAGTCAATCACAAGGGGCCTTACAACCGCAATTCTTAACACTGATTAATTTTAAAATAGATGATGGAAAGAGAGTGTGCGGTGCAAAGATCATTTAGTGGAGCATTAGCTACAATCATGTTAGATGTAGGAGCTCAGCAAAGTGAGAAAAATCACTAACCTTAGCTTAGTGTACTCTAATTTCTCTGATAGGGTATAGAATCCAAACCTATATTGAAAATGGAATAGCGATGACTAATGATTTGACGTATAAAAAAAGGTCAAAGGTATACTCACACTAGAAATCCTAATGATTAATGATTTGAAAGTCATGAAACAGAATCCTCAACCAACTCTATTGAGATAAGGCTTGGGCAACTATGCTTTTTGCAAACTGATTTTTAATATGTTGCAACTAGTGTCTTCAACAGTTGTTGCATTTGCCAATCACACCCTTTGCCTACCACCTTGGATAGAATTTTTATTTATTTCAAGTGAAGAGAAATGGGTAATTTTGTATCTGAAGATAAGTAGGGGATCTTTAATCCGGATCTTCCTTGTTCCAAGGTCTTTCTCCACTACACAATTATGTCAAAGAAACTCATCGTGGGGTATAGAAGTGAGTTGGGTGGGTGCAAGATGTACAGAGGAGAGGGCAGAGAGGTTTTGTCTCCTCAAGATGTACTAGGCTGTATTAGTTATTAATATCCTATATGGATAAAGAATTGTGATAAAGACCTTCGTATATACATGACTTCCACAATCTGTACTCTCATTCCAACCACTCATAATATGGGATCCACACATATATAAATGGATCCCACACACACATCAAGTACTAAGATTAAATTACCAATCATTTCCCACGGATAAAAAACACCAGAAAAAAGAAACCATCTAAAAGACATCT